AAAAAGACAAAAGTGTAACTTACTTTCAAGAACTGGAAAAGAAACACTCAGCTCAGCCAATTGTGTCAAAACTTTTTTCAGGGGGTTCTAAGCGAGTCGACGACGAACTCCGTGCTTCCTACAATATTTGACATTATTGGAGAGGATTTAATTTTACCGGTAATAAAAGAAGTAACAACTGATGTGCTCCATAAACCAGCGGCAGATATTATCCGAAAAATCTCTTTGAGCAATAGTTCCGTGCAAAGACGAATTGATGTGATGACTGAAAACAAATTGCTCTTATACAAGAAAAATATCGGCAAACGTGAGTTTTGCAATTTCCCTAATTTGTCAGCAGTATCCTTCAACAACGACGAATTGCTTTTTCACTGATAACATTTGGAGAACCTCCACACTGATCTCGCAGAACGATTCCAGGAAATTTTAAAATTGGAAATACCGGACTGGGTGTTGGATCCTTTTTCAAATGTCAACACAGCAGGATCACCCCAGCTGAAAGAAGAACTCGTAGAACTGATAGTGAACGAGGAAATGACAATAAAATTCATAAATGGATAACCAAGAATTTTGGCTATTAAAACTAATCTCGAAATTGTACCCTGGATTATGGTCCATCGTTCAATGATTTTTGATAGCATCCCCATCATCGTATTTGTGTGAACGTGGATTTAGTGCTGTGGCAACGTTGCTAACTAAAAAGAGAAATCGGTTGCAGATTACCGAACGCGGTGACTTACGGCTGTTTCTGAGAAAATTCGAGCCTGATATTGACAAACATGTTAAAAATCATCAAATTGATCCTTCACATTAGATTTGTTTTGAAATTCAAATTAAAATGTTTGTTTTAATAACATGAATAAAAGTTTCCCTAATATTACAAAATGGTGTTTTACATTACCCTCATCAGAAAGTCTCATTTCCACATGACATTCATAATTAAATTATTAAAATACTGACTGCGATTGTGATAATTAAGATGTAGTGAATAATCAATTCTCGAAGTTGGCAGTAGACAAAATAAGTTTGAGAACCTCTGGTTGAAAGTAAGGTTTCATTTTGTGAGTGAAACAGTTTGCGAAACGAGCGTAGCGAGTTGAGCAAATTCACCAACAAAATAAAACTTACTTTCAACACAAATATCAAACAAAGTTTTTCGTACAACTGTCCTGTTTTCGTAATGAAATAGATAAATTAGGTTTGTTCTGGTTCTAACATCCCAAAACGTTTGGAAACTGCGCAAGACATGGTGCGTATGAACAAAAAATCTCAAACAGTTCGAAATAGTCTCGGACACTTGTTTAAACCAGAATGCTTTTGAGGAGACCACTGTGCCACCTATCATATATATGAAGAGATGAAGACGAGAAATATTATTAATCATGTCCATTTTGTTATGTAGCGTATCCCTATAGTCAGCTCAAATGTTATCTACCCTCAATCATCAATTATTCCAATCAAATAAATAATCAGCCTCGAGAGCAAGAACGATTCGGGACGGTTCAAAACAGTTTAGAATCATTTCGCAGTCAAAACCAGAACAGAGGATTCATCAGTCCGAAATTATCCTCAATAAACCAGAACGCTCTATATCAACTACGCATGATCCTGACGTCCAAGAACCTGAATTTCGCAGAACCAGAACAAACCTATTTAATATTCAAGTTCTTGCTGGTGTTTAATGTCTTGCATAATGAAGAACAATAGTGAGGAATTGTGTGTTCCTCACGATATTGAAGAGGCTGCAAAAAGAGCTTCAATAGAATTCTTAGCAAACAAATCAGCAGTACGACATCGCTTATTCTAATTTTCTCAGCTGGTGTAGACTTGAAAACGTCGAAGAAAATTTCAGCGAAACCGTCTTCTCCGCCTATATAGAAGGAAAATCAAAAATATGGAACTCGTCAACTTCGTGGAGCAATATTTAAATGATAAAGTCGAGTGAGCTCGTTAAAAAAGGTGTTGATACAACCATTTCAAGATAATAACATTCTTTAAGCGAAAAAATTAAAGTTATAGGCTCCAAAAATCAAAAATTGTTACGTTCAAACAAGTCCAGAGGTTTATAAATGAGGCGCCAGATGAAAAATATTTCATGATGAAAGTTGCTACTATTTTCGGAATAAATGGAGCCTGCCGGCGTGAAGAACTCTGCCGTTTATTAATTCAAGACAATAAATTAATGGATACATCATTGACTGTTCAAATTTCAAGTACAAAAACAAAAATAGGTCGTTCTTTTTGCATTTTTGGAAAAAATGCCATTCCTGGCAGATTCTGCCAGAAGTCCATAAATCTTCTTGTTATCCAGGTATTCAGTGTTTGTTTGGCAAAGCCCAAAGCGATGCCAATGATAGGTTCTGGTCCAATGAAGCCGCTTGCAGCACTCTCCTTTGCAAGAGAGTCCGTGCAGCTTCATTGCCTTCCAGGCCAGTATGGCCAGGAATCCAGACCAGAGACAACCTGTTAAGTCTTCCTATCGAGGAGAGTCGTTTGTGTCAGTTTGCTACCAATTTAGACGTCGCTCGGTAGGAGCCAAGAGCTTCCAACGCCGCTTGACTGTCCGAGAATATTTTTATTGACTTGTGAGTGAGGTTGTATTTATCGAATCTCTCCTCACACAATTTAATAGCGTAAATTTCCGCTTGAAATACAGTCCTAGGCAGGTAGATAACTCTGTACAGGGTCTGCGACTGAAAACACCTTCACCAGAACCGGTAGGTGTTTCTGATCCTTCTGTGAACCAACATCTGCTCTTAATATTTTTTTCTCCCGGAGGATCTAGTTCTCTCCACTCGGGAATAATACTTTATAAGGCAGTTCGTAGTTGACAGTTGGAGACATGCATCAAAAATGCTGTGACTTCCAATGTCAACCAACAGTATGTTGCACTCTGCATTCAATTGATTTGTGCAATTGGCAATGTGCACAAGTCTATATGCAGTCCATCTAACCTCTCTCTCCAGAAAAATGTGGAGAGGAGGTAGATCTAGAATGATCTCCATTGCCGCTGACGGTGTTGTACTGATGGCACCACTGATAGCCAGACAAGCTTGTCTCTGTGAGCCAGAGAGCTTCGCTTGGGCCGTTTTTTGTGAAGCCTTCGGTCACCAAGCAATTGCACCATAAGTGACCATTGGTCTGACAATCATCACATAAATTCAATGAATTTGTTTGGGACCTGAACCCCAAGTTTTACTACAAATCCTTCGACATGTCCATAGAGACAGTTGTGTAAAACTTTTTCCAAGTGAGCGTTCCAGGTGAGTCTTTTATCAAGAACAATGCCAAAATATTTCACCTCCGTTCCAAATGGAATAACCACACCATAGAGAGAAAGTGGCGTTAGATCGTCCGATTTTCTTCTCTTGGTGAAGGAGATTAAAATAGTTTTGCTGAGGTTGATTGACATCTGCTCCCTCAGGCACCGACTGTGAACAACGTCCAACGCACTTTGGAGGATATTGCAAGCTACCCTTCCCGACGTGCCAAGATGACAAGCATAAGCTTGCAGATCAACTTTTATTCTGTCGAGGGCATCAAGCAGACTATCCACCACGACCGACCACAGAAGGGGAGATAGTACCCCACCTCGAAGGCAGCCCATGGTGACCCTGAACCTGATAGCTTCGCCTTGAAGAGTCGTAGTTGCAGTTCTGTTTACTATCATGGCATAGATCCAGCCAGTTATGGTCGATTCTATACCCTTCCCAGCCAGAGACAATCCTATAGATTTAGGTAGTGCATTGTCAACTGCTCCTTCAATATCAAGAAATCTGACTCTTGTTATCAAGAGTCAGATTTCCGGGAAAGTGGTTTTTTATTAGAAGCTCTAACGTTTCGTTACTAGAGGTTGTAAATGTTCCATCGGGTCGTTTAAGCGACCCAATTTCAGCAGTCGGCTCTCTAGAGAGAATCTTGTAAATTCTTGTGCGGCGAGGTAAATCAGAAATACCTTCATAGAACTTCCTCCAAGACTCCCGTTTTGCCTTTCTAATTTCCTTGTTGTATATCGTTAGAGGGGTTTTGTAAAGTTCCCAGTTATGGTACTGAAGAGCCCTAAGGCAAGTGTCTTACGGTGAAACATCGATGTCTACCAGTGAGGATGACAGTGTTCCATCATAGTGAAATTTTTATCTTTCATTCAGTATATTGTGTAGAAATCCTGTGAATTATATCTGATCTAATTCCTGAGTAGAAAAAAGTTCTTTTGTATAATTCAGTGTTCATATGGAAGTAGTTATTTCAGAAAGGCTTTTTCTCCCAGTTCGTGTCTGAAAGTTACTTCTTTGCATGATCTTCACATCTATGTATAGAGTTACTTCTCTTAAAATTGATTTGTTCCTTCCTTTCATTGGAAGATTTCCACATTTTTTTGTATCAAGAAGGAGTAGTAGAAAGCCAAAAACTCTCTTTCCCAAAAATTAATCGTGACATTGTTTATAAACATCTTATTCGAGTAGAAAAAACTGGAACATACAGTAGAATTCATATTCGCGTAGAGTATTTCCAAAGAACAAAATGAATAATTATATAGTATGGATCCATCATTCCCTGAAAAATGAACATAATTACCGATTCTCATGAATATTCAATGGATATGGAAAATATGATAATTTGTTCGAAAATAAGGGTCTGCAATTATGTATCTTGTCAGAGAGAGAAAAAATTAAATATATATAGACGGGACAAATGTTGATTCTCACCAGTTGCCTACCTGAGTGTTGGGAATAAACCTCATCCAAATGGAAAGCAACCACTTTAAATTCATTAAGTATCTTATGTTGTTTTCAGGAACTTGGAGGCTCAAACTTGAATCCGGCTCAAGAATCCGTCAAGTATGCTATAATGTGTATTCATCCTGCATTCAAGGATATTTCTGTTTATTCGTAGTATCACTCTTCATGCAACTACCTGTGGTGTGGAAAGAAAGTAAAGCAAAAACGTTTGAAAACCTATCAATATCAATTTTCTGCATGATAATGTTGATGAAAAGCATCATGTCTCAATCAGAGAGAATTACAACGTTACTGAAAGACATGTTGGAAGCTGAAAGAGCGATAATTGCTACCAGCAATGAAGTAGATAAAAGGATTTACTACGATCAAGTTGAGTATACCAACAGAATAAACTTATCACTTACTTTATACACATACGGGTTGGTTGGAATACCTTTGATAATGCTCAATTACATCAGCTATTTGCAGTTTGAGAAGACTCATATACTGACCAATACCACAGAGTCCAAACCACTTCCTTATGTTTCTTGGTTTCCTTTCGATTCAGATGAATATTATTTCGTCGCATTCGGAATGGATTCTGTTGCAGCCTTCATGGGTTCCACCTATAACTGCCTAGTGCAATTATTTTTTATTGCTATCATGACATTCGTGATAGGAAGACTGAGGATTCTGCAGGAGCATTTCAGAAACTTTGACGAAATTGATGAATTTGGAAAAAATATTGGGGGAGAATCCGGAACTGATCGAAATGAGGATCATGATGTCTTGAGGAATTTGAAAAGACTAATTTTAGAACACATGGAGATTATAGGGTGAGTTAAATTGTTCGAAACTTTGAGTGTGATGTCGATAAATTGGAAAATGAAGTGAAATATGAATAGATTACACATATTATAAAAATTTGTAATTCATAATTTTTTTTCGCTCATCTAATTCATTTTTGGACATATAAATTGTTCGTTCAACTTGAACTTGTTGACTGAATTAAGTTTAATATTTTTTCAGAATATCCTTTTTTGAATTCGTTTTTCTTCACGCTCTTCAAATATCATAAGGAACAAAAAAAACGTCTTCAGATTGAATATAGCTCCTTTTATCTTGTGGAAAAATATTCTAAACCGTAATAGATATGAAGACGATTGACTGAAAAAAATTAGGAGAGAAACCCGGGGTGAAAATTTGTATGAATGATTTATCTCTCAATAGAATGTGCGGGCAACATTTTTTATTTTAATTTTTGCTAACAATGTTAGGAATATGAATTCAAAATGGATATTTTCATTCAAATCATTGTTTTATGGAAAAAAGTAGCTGATTTAGATAGGCTTTTTACTGCATTTCATTAGTTCGGATTTCCATTGTCTAATGAATATTAGACAAAAATAACTCTGATATTAGCAAAAAAACTGAAATTACAATGAAATAAAATACAAACAATCAAAAAATTAAAAATTAAACTATCAACAAAAGATGAAAATGAAAAAAATTAATAACAAGAAATGAAAATTAAAAATTGATACGTTTCGATTGTAAGTATCCACAATCATCTTCGGGTGATAACTGGACTTATTCCTTCGAAATCTGACTATTTATAGATCATTCGACTGCTTTCACCTATCCCCTCTTCCCTCTCTCCGCTTTATGGGTTTTAGCGGAAGCTGACCGTTTGGCAGGAGTTGGTCGTGTTCCGCTTGACTGGAGATTTTCATATAATGCGTACCTCTACGCTAGCTTGGCTAACTGCGTTGTTGGATAACATATTTGCGGCTTTTTTGAATTTTCTCCTAAACCAGCGTTATTGCTTGTGAATGATTTCAGCTTGACTCCACTTGATATTATGTTGATGAGTCCAAACGTGCTCTGCTATTTCTGTCTCGCTGGTTTCTCTTTGCTCTGTATATTTCTCATGCTTGGCAATGCAAACTTTCAATGGCCTCTTAGTTTCATCGATGTATAATTCTCCGCACTCGCAAGGTATGCAATGCAATTCTTGGAATCGCAGTCCGCGTTTGATGGCCTGGTTTTTGTGAGGCTGCTACGAATAGTGTTCCCAGATCTGAAGCAGGTTCTGATGTAATATTTGGACCCAATCATTCTTATCCTTTCCGACAATCCACAACGTACCAGTACTGGTTGTGGCAGCTTTTCTTCCTTGTGGAGCTCTTGCTGTCTTCTAGCTGAAGCTTGTCACACCATCAATTCGGAGTAACCATTTCGTTGAAGGTCATTTTTGATGATGCTTTGTTCCTTTTCCTTCCTCTGCATAACAGAGCCCAAAAGCACGGTCTAGTAGAGTCTTGATTATTCTTCTCTTGGTCGATTGATGGTAGTTGGATTCCTGGTTCAGATACTGTCCTGTGTGAGTGGGTTGTTGATACACAGATGATTCCCATTTCATGTTGGTCCTCTTCACCAATACGTCTAAGAATGGCAATTCATTGTGGACTTCCGTCTTCAATCGACTATCAGACATATTAGACAATTGAAGTCCTAACTAATGAAATGCATCAACAAACATCGTCAACTACCTTGAAACAAAAGACTTTTCACTGTTTGTATCTGAACAAATCATCTATGTGTAATGTTGACAGATTGAAGGATCAGAGTATAAAATGTGAATTGATAATTCACATTCATTACAGGTGTGTGAAGAAATTGGATGATTCCACGAAATACTTGCTGTTACTCGAATTTTTGATGAATTCTTTTCAAATTGCTTCGTTGCTAGTACAGCTTTTAACGGTAAGATACTGATGAAGATACTGATAAAAATACTGATGAAGATAAAGATAAGGTACTGATAAATGAATGTGAAAGGTATACTAGACTGATAAAATAAAGATCATGTATCACAACATAAATTATAAAATAATAAAAATATACAACGTCATTCCACAAGAATGCCGTTAATGGAACCTTTTGTTTCAATATTTAATTTTCTAAGAAATCACTAATGTAAACCTTTTATTCTCATTGTGGGTATTGAAATACCCACAACTCACCTCGTCAACTCATCCCATTTTGATAAAAGAATTCTGAAGAATGCAAAGGTTCGGAGACTGGTGGTATTTCTCAATTTCGATTAGATTGCCGATTAGATTGCCTGGCACTCAATGACTGAGTACCAATTCAACTGGGAGGAGAAAACTTTTTAGTAAGCTATATGATACTCTGTTTCACAAAATGAGGTGAATTTTCATTTTTTCCAAATAATATTCATTCATTCATCAATTTGTATTTTGTCCCCTTCAAAGTATTCCCCCTCTGATATAATACACCTGTGATAGCGTTTCTCCAATCGTCTAAACAGGTCTGATATGCACTATTTGGTGATGTGAGATTTCTCGACGATTAAGTTATTATTCCATCAGTTGTCCTGATGCACTATGCCAAGATAATCGAAGAAAACAGTGAAAATAACCTTGACATTTGATCTAATTTGGCGTGCCTTTTTAGTCCTGACTCTCCTGGTCTCTTCCATTGGAACGATTATACTTTGTTTCGATGTCATGACCATATACCCATGATTCGTCACCAGTTATGACACTTCTGAGCAAATCTGGATTGCCGTTGAAAGTTCCTGAGCAATACTAATGCGACGGTTATTTTGGTCAAAAAACGAACTTCGCTGCCACACGCTTCATGCGCAAAATTTTCGAAAAAATTGAATGGCATGAGCTAACCGTTATGCCGATATCCACAGCAACTTCTCTAATAATCACTCGACGATACTCCATAACAATTTTGTTCTCTTTCTCAACATTTCAGTTATGTAGTACCTACTGCAACCTTTTCAGTAAATTGAACTGTTTGCAGATCAATTATATAACAGATTGATGATAAGTGATGAGAGAAAATTTCATAACTGGATTTTTTTCATTCAGATGGAACGCAGCATACTTATATTATTCACTTTGTCCTATTTGCTGATGGTGACTTATCAGATATTTCTTCTGGCCTGGCATGGAAATGAAATCAAAGAACAAGTAAGTATAACTGAATTCAGAACTATTTGACTCTAAATTTTGCTTTTTCTTTCATCCACGTCATAGACAATTCCATTCATGTTATAAACATCATTAAATTCTTTGAAAAATTGTTTGACTCTGAACGCACTCATTCCAATTGAAATGAAAAATATCAAATGATAAATGATAAATGCAATCGAATTAAATGATGAACTTCAACTGAAAATCGAATGAATTCCTGATACACTCAAATTTGAAGCGGTTGTAAAAAAAATCTAGTGAATGAATGCGATTATAGTATACCTGAATATCCAAATGATTCCCAGCTATCTGGGAACGAATTCCTTCCCTTCCCTTCCCTTCCCTTCCCTTCCCTTCCCTTCCCTTATGGTTCAGTACAGTTTCGAATCATTTCGCAGTCGAAATCAATCCGGAAATAACCTCAAAAAAACAGAACGCAAGTGAGCATGTTCCTGACGTCCTAGAACCTGCATTTTGTAGAACCAGAACAAACCTCTGTTATATTCAAAAGATACAGTTGACGTATCAAAAGTGATAGAAGACGTGTTAGAATGCTATACAATCGTCAGTTTGATACATCAACTCTCACGTATGATATGTCGATTGCCAATTTTGATATGTCAATTGTCAAACCTGGTGCGTCAGTTCAAAGTTTCTCCGAATGTAACAAAAGGGTAAAAACTTAGATATTTCAAACACAAAAGAGTAACAATTTGTGACGGAAGTAATGCGAGAAACAATACTGACTTTAACGCTGCTAGAGACTGCATGTGTGAAACACATGCCTAAGAGAAAGATATGTTAACTAGTAACAGCTCTATCTCGTGAACAAAGCTCCAACACATGTGATATACCAGTCACTAAACTTCTGTGTAGGTACGTTGGTAGATATTAATGTTTCGCGATTTTATCATTTGAATGATGAACTCTAACTTTTTTCTATCTATCCTCTTTTGAATATGTATTCCGATCAGACTCAAAAACTTGATTTCAAACTACCAAAAGACTTTTTGATTTTTATCTAGCCTCCAAATCATTTTGAGCCACGAATGTAGAATAACAAGTATTTAAATTTTTTTAAAACCAGTTCATGTATATTCTCGAAGCAAATTTTTGATTTATTTCAGAGTTTAGAATTGAGCAATGCCCTCTATGAAAGCAGGTGGTATGAACACAGTGTTGCTGTTAAGAAATGTATCCATCTCATGATGTTGAGATCACAAAGGCCATTAACTCTACAAATTGGTCCATTTTATCCTATGACTATGAGTACTGCATTATCTGTAAGTATTCATGATATTAATTCGTTTCCAGTCAAATCATTTCAGGAATGATAATCATACCCTCAATATTATCACCATGATTTTTCATCTTTTTCCTTCATTTTGGCTACATCATAGATCAAAAGGTTTCAACAACTGTATCAATCAATAACTAATTCAGAACGAACGCTATACTGTTAAATTTCTTATTTGTCCATTTTCTCTGAATTCATGAACGCCTGAGCCTGAGTCAAGATTTTTTTTAGTACATGTCAGAAAAAATCTCCCTCATTACTGACCTGGGGTTTTTTCAAGGCTTCCATTGTTCTTGGATCATAGTCATATACAAATATTTTTATCACTATCATCTAACTATCAAGCTAACCCTTTTTCACTATCACATGGTCACCACTGATCTTTTTAGTAGTATCAGATAATTTTTGTCATTTTCAACCAATCTTGATTCTCAACATCACATTTGAAAGAATGAGTTGAAAAATGTAACGACTTTTGAAAAAAATTATGAAGTTCTTCGAATTACGCAGAGTTATTTTTTTCAGACCGTTAAAGCTGGATACTCATATGTAACAATTCTCAGAAAATGAATCACTCTATATGGGTATGTAAGCAAACCTGAACACTGAATGCTTATTACCTCACAGATCATGATCACCTACATCGTATATTTCAGAAACTAGCACATAAAAAATGTTTACACTTCATGGTAGACTCTGCCATGCATTACAAGTGACAGACACTTTTGTAATGTGATGCAAGATGTTGATAATAAAATATATATGCAATCAAAAAGACAATTTCAATTACACGTCAAATACCCTGGAGGACCCTGGGAAGCTGGCGCCGAAGAAATATCTGGCGATGACCAGGAAAACCTGTATAGTGGTGTGTCCACTAGCCCCATATTGAAGGGCCTAGCCCCATATTACGGGGCTAGTGGACACACATTTATGCAGGATGTGTGAACAGAAAAATGAAGGCATATCTCATGCGAGTATCTGGAGTAATCGTCATTGAGAGAGTGTGTGTTCGGCAAGTCTTGGCCTACACTCGCCGATATAAAGTAGATGTCTCCTATTGACCTATCCACCTTCCTGGAAAGAACAGGATGAACGATTACCTAGGAGGACAACTCTTCGGGAGGATGTACAATGGGTCACATGTGGCCTAAGTGCTGTGGGCCTTCACTCACTCTCTCTACTCTACAGATACAGATACATGTCAAACATCTTTCAGAAGTGATGGGAATGTGGTTGAGATTATTCAATACTTCAAACGATCATATGGAGAAAAGCCAACCAATATAATTTCTGCCACCCAGGAGCCAATCAATCTAGAAATTTTTGAGAGGTGGCGCACTGAAGATAAATTTTTCAGTATCTCTGTATCTGTAGAGTAGGGAGGGTGAGGCCACATGTGACCCATTGGACATCCTCCCGAGGAGTTGTCCTCCTAGGTCATCGTCCATCCTGTCCTTTCCAGAAAGGTGGACAGGTCGCTGGGAGACATCTCCTTCATATCGGCAGGTGTAGGCCAAGACTCGCCAAACACACACTCTCTTATTGACGATAACTCCGGACACTCGCATAGGACATGCCTGACAGTCTCATCATCCTGTTCACACATCCTGCATAGAAGTGAGTCCACTAGCCCCATATTATGGAGGTGTTTCCTTAGTTGAAAGTGGCCAGTCAGAAATCCTATTGTAAGGCGTAGATTTTTTTCTGGTCATCGCCAGATATTTCTTCGGCGCTAGCTTCCCAGGGTCGCCCAAGGTGATCCTGGCAAGATTACATCCTTTGATTCCATCCCATCTGTTTAAGGATTGAGCATGGGTGTAACATTTGACTAGTTCCGCAATTGTCGAAGTCATCAAGCCGTGGGTGCCACTGGGTCCTAAAATTCTTAGTCCAGCCGCTTCCTTGGCTAAAGAGTACGCAATGCGATTACCTTTACTCCTGTCGTGCCCTTTAACTCACCTCAGGATAATGTTATTATCTACCGAGGCTTTGGCTAAATCTTGGTGGCACTCTAGTACTAGCTCTGAGGTAACACGCTGTCTGTTCAAGGCTAATAGTGCTTGTGTGCTATCAGTGCAGATTGTTATGTTTTTGCCAGAAATTCCTTTCTTGGTTATTTCTTTTGTGGCGATTGAGATACCAGCCAGTTCTGTTTGGACCACGCTGGTATTTCTTCCCATTCCCCACTTAATCCTTAGGCTTAGTGACCTGGAGTACACTCCACATCCTGAGCTTTCTTTAGTGTTTGAGCTGTCTGTATAAATCCGTATTGCATTTGGAGCATCTGACTCTGTGTTCTGCTTCATTTGTATTTTGTAGGGTTTATTAAACACAAACCTGGGTTCAATTGCATCACTTGTTGCCTGCAGCAGGGGTTGCGCAGTAAGCGCCTCTAGCCATAGGCCCAGCCTCAATTCACCCATTCCTACTTCGAGGTTTACACCAGTCGTGCGCAATCGTACCGTGGCCATTAACGCAACCTCCTTAACGTACAAATCCCGAGAGGTCAGACCCGTGATCAATTCCATTGCCGCGGTTGGTGTTGGTTGGTAACATAGGTTTTATTATTGCAGTGTAGATCCAGGTGACCACACGTGGTGAAAGACCCCATGCGCGTTCCACTGTCCTCCGACATTGCTCATAAGCCACGTATACTCTTTTTGCTCTACTCTGTAGATGAGTGTTCCATGTTAGCTTTTTGTCGAAAATAGTACCAAGGTATTTCACCTATTCAGAGAAGTTTAGTTTGCTTTTGAAGATTTCAGGAGGTTTTAAGCCCGTTAAACTTCTGTTCCTGGTGAAAAAGGCCATCTCAGTCTTCTTGGGATTGATCGACAGTGAGTGTTCCTTACACCATGTTCCTATTAATTTGAGCCCATCCTGCGTTCTATCGCACAGTGTGTTTACGAATTTGTCGGTCTGCAAGATAACGATGTCATCTGCGTATGCAATTCTGTACAATCCATTTTTGTTATGGTGATCAATTAGGGAATCCAGAACTATGTTCCAGAGAAGGGGTGATAAGATCCCTCCCTGTGGACATCCCCTCATGACCAGTCCTTTCACTGTGATGTCTTCTACATTAATACTTATTGCTCTACTAGAGAACATCTGGAGTATCCATTCTCCTACTACCAGGGGTAGTGCTAGTGCAGTGGAGTGTATTTGCTAGGTAATTGTTGGAAAAGTTGTTTCATCAAACGCTTCCTCGATATCTATGAATTCTTTGCTGTCCAATGATCTTCCGATTCTGCCAACCACATGGTGAAGGGTCGAATCAGTAGACCTTCCCGGGGTATATGCATGCTGATTTGGATGAAGTGGGTTGTTGACAAGTACTTCATCTCTTATGTACCGCTCACATAGCCTCTCCATGGTTTTCAAGAAAAACGATGTGAGACTAATTGGTCGGAATGCTTTCAGTAGGGTGTAGCTGGTCAGGCCCTATCCCCCGAAGCTCCGATACATTCGGGAGGACGCGCCAGCATTATCAACCAATGACCACTCCCCACACCGTGGGGTAAGTGATCATTGGGTCCGAGAATCATGTACCCTGAGCAAGCGTAGTGATCCAAGAATGACAGCCTTCTGTATCTGTGCAGCTAAGATTTCTGCCTTAGTGCGGGTATGATTTTAGGATTCGAGAGTAGAGAGGACTCCAATAATCAGAACAACCATCTTGACAGAGTGATACGGATATAATCCAACGCCCTTCGTGGTATTAGCCAGGGGAGTAGTTGTTTTCTGATAGGTGTCAGTCCATTAACCTACTGTGTAGGGTGTTGAGACTGGCCTGAACGAATTGCTCTCTTAGATGATTTAATTTATAGCCAGTCTTCAAGTATGCCCACTGACTATACGTGATAAATGTAGATTAATGTAAATGGTTCAATACTTTGATCGAATTGCTTGCTTTCTGTCTGGATGGGCAAGGTTTGCCCCCTTTCCCTTCCAAAATTTCAGCTATTCAAAACGCGCCGGTACCAGAAAATATATCCGAGCTAAAATCTTTCATAGGATTGATAAATTTTTACCACAAGTTTGTCAATATGTCAGTTGATTTACTCGGACCATTGTATGAATTGACAAAAAAAAGATGTACCATGGCTCTGGTCTCAAGAATGTGAAAAGGCTTTTGATAAGGCTAAGTCGAGAATTTGTGAGAAATGTTCTCTATTGTTGAATGATCCTGACAAACCCCTGATATTGAATAGTAGTAGTTACGGTGTTGGAGCCACGTTGGCTCACTTTATAAACGGTGTGGAGCAGCCAATTGCATTCGCATCCACAACACTTTCACCCGCCGAAAGAAACTATTCTCGAACTGACCGTGAAGCCCTTTCGTTGGTGTTTGGTGTCAAACACTTCCACAATTTTTTGGCAAAACATCACTTCACTTTGGTAACAGACCACCAACAACTTTCCTTTATTTTTGGAGAGCGGAAGGATATTCCGTTGGCCAGCGGGGCAGGCACAAAGTATATGATCTGCTATTTTCCAGACAGAGGCGACACACACTGTCTTCCGATAGTCCAAGTCTCTGCACATGATGATTCAAATGACAGTGACCTGTAAGAAGACCTGTTAGACATCGTAGTTCATCCCTACTGTAGTCCAACAACTGTTTGGATTCAAGCTTCGAAGGATGAATAAACGCCTTGGAGTGAGCCATTCCTGGCAGATTCTGCCAGAAGTCCATAAATCTTCTTGTTATCCAGGTGTTCAGTGTTTGTTTGGCAAAGCCCAAAGCGATGCCAATGATAGGTTCTGGTCCAATGAAGCCGCTTGCAGCACCCTTCTTTGCAAGAGAGTCCGTTCAGCTTCATTGCCTTCAGGCCAGTATGGCCACGAATCCAGACCAGAGACAATCTGTTGAGTCTTCCTATCGAGGAGAGTCGTTTTTGTCAGTTTGCTATCAATTTAGACGTTGCTCGGTAGGAGCCAAGAGCTTCCAACGCCGCTTGACTGTCCGAGAATATTTTTATTGACTTGTGAGTGAGGTTGTATTTATCCAATCTCTCCTCACACAATTTAATAGCGTAAATTTCCGCTTAAAATACAGTCCTAGGCAGGTAGATAACTCTGTACAGGGTCTGCGACTGAAAACACCTTCACCAGAACCGGAAGGTGTTTCTGATCCTTCTGTGAACCAACATCTGCTCTTGATATTTTTTTCTCCCGGAGGATCTAGTTCTATCCACTCGGGAATAGTACTTTATAAGGCAGTTCGTAGTTGACAGTTGGAGACATGTATCAAAAATGCTGTGACTTCCAATGTCAACCAGCAGTATGTTGCACTCTGCATTTAAATGATTTGTGCGATTGGCAATGTGCACAAGTCTATATGCAGTCCATCTAGCCTCTCTCTCCAGAAAAATGTGGAGAGGAGGTAGATCTAAAATGATCTCCATTGCCGCTGACGGTGTTGTACTGATGACACCACTGTCATCANCATGGCCATTAACGCAACCTCCTTAACGTACAAATCCAGAGGGGTTAGACCCGTGATTAATTCCATTGCCGCGGTTGGTGTTGTTCTCATGGCTCCTGTGATATTTAAACAAGCCAGTCGCTGTATTTGATATAATTTTTGGATGGCAGTTGCTTGTAGAACTTTCGGTCCCCATGCAATGGCTCCATACGTTAACATAGATCTTATTATTGCAGTGTAGATCCAGGTGACCACACGTGGTGAAAGACCTCATGCGCGTCCCACTATCCTCCGACATTGCTCATAAGCCACGTATGCTCTTTTTGCTCTACTCT